TCCCCTTGTTTCAGTTCAGTTAGTCCTGTCTCGTCTCTGTTATGGTTGTGTTACCCTGTATCTGTACCTGGACTTATCTTTGCATTATCTTAGTGTTTGTTAAAAGACTGTTTGCTTGTACCTTTGTCTTTATGTGATTACCACAACCAATGACAGTGAATGATTTTTTTTTTTTTCAGGTAACAAATACAAAATTACTAAAATCAAATAGTATAATTTAATGTTACTATATCAACCTTACAGGGCTCCAGACTGCGACTAAAACGGTCACATTCGCGACCAAAAATTAATTTGCAAATGAAGTTTTTGCTGAGATTGCCACTGGTGACTATATAAATGTACATGTTATGATTTAAAAATTTGCATGTAATGCCTTTTTTCCTGATTGTTTTGCGATCACATCTTTTATGTTGACGTAAAAAACTGAGATGTTGCGCATCATAGATAACAGTCCTCATCTCTGCCGAATGGCAGCGTTGAAGAAACACCTGCTAAAAGCAGCTTGAGTTGTGCAGCATGATCGAGATTGAAAATGACTGAGATGTGCGAAGTAAAAGTACAGAAAAGCAGTGTCTACTTAGTGCACAACCTGAACAAACTACAACAGGTAAAGATGTCAGCTGTGTGGATATTGGCAATATCGTTAACGATTCTCGTTTATAATCGATATTATGAATTATTGTTATCAAGATCTTTATCATGATCTTTTCTTTTCTGTTAATGCGTGAACTTCATATTATTTGTAGCACACTTGCCGTCCAATAGCCTAATCACAATAAGCTTTGTGCTCTGTTACATTTTAATAAACAAAGTATCAACTTTAAAATTCTGCTGAACTCATAATTAAATTCAAACAATAAATACTGTTTTGGCACTCTTTAATGTGGCATGAGCAATCGCTTTAGCACCTCAGTTCAAACGGCACATGAACCCATCATATCTTTCTCTTTACTACTATAGTATGAAATGAACATTGAATAAATAAATGAACAGCTTAAACAATGCCACGTAACAATACATTTACCTCAGAATAGCCATTCAGTGTCCATAAGCTCATCGGTCAGCTAGAAAAAATAACTATAAAGAGGAGAGTTTTGCTAAATTTATGCACTATATTGCATATTTTTACTTAACTTGTTGTCTACATGATAAGAAATAATGCAAGGAGCTAGAGATAAAATTAAATATAAATTGCATGTTACTAATGAAAAAAATCAGACTGGATGTGTGCAAGATATGTGACAACATTTATAGGATGCATTGAGGAGCCCAAACTACACTCAGTGGCCAATTGATGCATACATAGTTATGGTCTGCGATATGGGCACAGATTCTGTGTAATAATTCTTTGTGACTGTAGCCTGTATAGACTGTATATACTGTAGTTCTCAAGTTGGAAAATCCAATTAGTTCCCACCAAGGTTATTTTCGTAAACGAAAACTAAAACTAAGACGAAAACGATTGATGAAAAAACAATTTCGTAAACTGAAATAAAATTAAAATGACAAAATAATTGAAAAACTAAAACGAAACGAAACTAACAACAGTTACTGAAAAACTAACTGAAATAAAATAATAATTATCAAAAATAAATAATCGTTTTCGTAATCATTACGTTCTCATCCCTTGGCGGAAAAATATATGAGCTGTGTGGCGCCGGCAGTTTAGGGAAATACATGTAAATGGCGCATTGCGCACGTGAGGTTATCTTATGCAGAGACGCAAAGTAGTTTAAAGCAGAGTCCTGCACGGGTCCTGTTTGGTAAACGTGCACCAGCAGTACTTAACAGAACTCTCGACCCGTTATCCAACAGCAGCAATTTAATTCTGTACCAGACCAGACCCGTTTGACATAGGCTAAAGACTGCAAGTCGCGAACCGCACCCACATTAAATCTATTACATCAGGTAGGCAAAATTATTTATTTTCTCATGTAACACAAGCAATCAAACCAAAATTAGGCATTCTAAGTTGGTGCTTTGAAGAAAAACAGACGCGCAACGTAATAATTAACAGAAAAAAAGACGAGAATGCGCATCCTTTCTGAAAACAATACAAAACTTTAGCATAGCATCTTGTGATCACTCTGCCAGGCTTTCGGACAAATGTGCATAGGCTAAATCACATCATAAACACGCTTATAATTCTTAATAAATGAAAAGAACAT